CAAGCTGCTGTTCCCAACTTAAGCTTAGTTTTTTGTCAGCACACCTTCTCATCATAGAACAATAATGAAAATGCGATAAGAATCGAGCTTGCTATCTCATTGTGGCAGCAGATATATATATATATATATATATAGCAGATATCGTGCAAGTGCAAAGTTTGCCATATCAGATACTGACAGCAGAAATCGAGTACAGTGTGCCGTCACAACGTGACGGCAAAATTGCGGTATATTGCGCAATCTGCTTTATTAACTGTGTCGACAAAAACGCAGCAGAAATCGAATAGGACCTACTAACATAACTTGTTGGCAAATTAACTACAGAAATCGAGCCAATTCTATTTCGTAAATATTTAAATTGTGACATTATTATTACTAAAAAATTTTGAAAAATAATGTCTATTATTTTTCTACCTCTTATTTTAAAATAATTTTTAATTATTTTACTAATGATAAAATTAATATATTTTTTACAGCACAAATAAGTTATAAAAAGCTTTTTAAAGATATAAGTTATATCATGATTCTTTTGATTTTTATATAACGTATCAAATAATGTACCAAACATTGTACATTTTATATAATGTATTATTTCCCAGGTATTACACTTCGTTAACTACCTTGTTGGACAATTATGTCTTGCATCAAACGCATGTATAAAAATACATAAATAATAAATGCATGTTTAAATTTGGATAATTTCGCTTATATAGAAAGCTTGATAAATTTTGCTTGCGAGAAACGCAATCTAGCGGTAGTTTTTTAATTATTATATTTAGTGACAGACGCAGAGTTTTATACGATTTCTGTTGCCAATTTGCTGGTAAATTATGCCAGCAGGCTCTATTCGATTTCTGTTACAATTTTGCCGCCACGACGTGATAGCATATTATGTTTGATTTTTGCTACCTTTTTGTCTACAACAATTGATAAAGCAAATTGTATACCTGCCGCAATTTTGCCGTCATGACGGCACTGTGTTCGATTTCTGCTGCGTTTCTGCTGCCAGTATCTGACGTCACACATCGTATTGCATCCTTGCCGCATTTCTGCTGTCACAGTGTGATGGAATTAGATATGCCAGATTTTTTACTACATTTTTGCAACATGTCCTGACGGCATATCATATTAAATTTTGGAGTATTTTCTGTTAAATATTGTGACAACACAAAATGCTTGAATTCTGATGTATTTATGACGACAAGCTTTGTTCAATATTTACAATATTTCAACATTTTCAACATTTTTGTAGCATGTTATGATGCAGAGCTTGCTCAATATGTGCTGCATTTTTATTGGCAATATCTGTTACAGCAGTCCATATTGGATTGCTACTCGATTCTTGCCGGCATAACGTAGCATAATCTCGTAATTTGTACTTTTGTTTTGCTTGGGATATTACATTTTGCTTTGGGATATTATAATACAATATTGAATTATTTACATAAAATTAATTTAATTATTTAGAAAATGCTAAAGAAATAAATAGAATTTTAAACAATAGTAATGCAATTAATAACTTTAATAATTTTATATAATTTTATATAAATATTCATTTATTTATTTACAATAAGTTAAATGATAATCTGTACTTTCAAATAAAAAAAAAGAGTAATAGCAAAAAGCAAAATAAGTGTATAAAACGGTAAAAGGGCTTTTCTATAAATTCAATGATCGAATAACAAAAACTCAAAAAGACCTACCTTATGATATTCCTCTTGTGTAGCAAACCGTTCACGTTGTATTCGCGTCATATAAAGCACATCAGTGTCAGGCAGAACTTCTTCCAGAGTTGTAAACCTCTCTTGCGGAATATGACGCTCAGCAACAAAATTAACAATATGATCCGGCATGCCGAGGCCAGGTGGACTAACATAGCGAAGTTCTACGTTGTACAAGGTCAACATCCTATATCAAAATTCAATAATGCATATTAAAGGAAAACATTCTAATCATTAAATTGCTTCAATTGTGACAATTTGATTGTTTCCTCATAGCAAAATTAATTTCAACGTTTAAAATTACGTTTACAAAATACGAATTGAGCGAAGAACTTGTATAATTTAAAATTATTATAATTTAAAATTATTTTAATTATTATGTATTTTCATCTACTTTTAGTCTGAATTAAAAATATCGTCTGTTAAAAAACGTGTCTTAATACGAGGGTAGTCTGAAAAGTTTTGAGCCTAACATAGAAACAAGTATTTTTTCGGTCAAATATAGTTTTATTTTTCAACATAATCTCCTTTTAAGTCGTACACTTTTCCCATCGATACTCTATCTCTTTAACCCCTCCAAATAGTAGTTGGCGTCTTGCTCCGCAAAATAGGCGTTTACGTATGCGATGACCTCCTCGTTCGATGAAAATCTCTGTCCTCCAAGCGAAACTTTAAGCTTAGGAAACAGGAAAAAGTCGCTGGGGGCCAGATCTGGTGAATACGGTGGGTGATCAACCAATTCGAAGTGCAGTTCGTAAATTTTGGCCATGGCGACCGCCGAAGTGTGAGCAGGCCACTTGTCTTGATGGAACAGCATTTTCTTCTTCTTCAAATACGGCCGTTTTTTGCAATTTCTGCCTTCAGCTTATCAAGTAATAATGCGTAATACGCTCCCGTTATTGTTTTACCTTTTTCAAGATAGTCGATACACACAATTCCGTGACTATCCCAAAAAACAGTCGCCATTACCTTCCCAGCTGATGGAACCGTCTTCATCTTTTTCGGAGCAGGTTCACCCTTTGCAGTCCACTGTTTTGACTGTTTTTTTGTCTCTAGAGTGTAGTGGTGGATCCAAGTTTCATCTACAATTATCATCTACAATTATGAATCGACGCAAAAAATTTGACTCGTTTCGTTTGAACCGCTTCAACAGGACCTTGGAAATGTTCATTCGAATTCGTTTTTGATCCAAAGTGAGCAAGCGCGGCACCCAACGCGCGGATAGCTTGCGCATATCCAATTCTTCAGTCAATATATGACAAACGCGTTCTTTCGATATGCCCATAGCCTCTGCTATCTTGATTCGACGTCCAGTACCATTTGAATATTTTCGATGTTATCAGCGGTTGTCGCAGTTTTTTGCCGTCCCGAACGCTCATCAGCCAAGCTGGTACGACCACGTTTAAATTCAGCTACCTATTTTTTTACGGTGGCAAATGTTGGGGCAGAGTCCCCATAAACAGCGTCCAATTCGATTTTAATTTGCGCAGGCGTATTGCCTTTCAAATGTAAGAATTTAATCACGGCATGATATTCAATTTTTTTCTATTTTTACAAAAACACTGACATCGATTGACACAAACGACTGTCAAACAACAACTGAGCGTCCAAAATGGCTGAAATTTTCACAAAAGTCTTTTAAAGCATATACTATTGTAGTACTAAAATGATTTTGACGAGTAACGTCATCTTCATGTTAAAGCTCAAAACTTTTCAGACTACCCTCATATATATATTTTAAATGTACAAACGAGAATTCTTAAAATTAAAAATATATGTATAACAATTACAAAAAGATTAATAAGATTCTAGCGCAGATGATGGTGTAACTGTATTTATCAGTTATATTTAAAATCAATCAATAAAAATTGGATTAATACATAACATTCAATTTTTTATACATTGATCGATTTTAACAAATATAATTGCGCACTGTCATCTGTGCTAAAAACTCTTAGTCAATTCTTACCTTGCTTTTATAAATGTAAAGTTTTATTTTACTATGTACGATCTTAACTTTTAAATCAGATTTAAAACAGACTTGTTTTCAATAAAAATATCTAAACACGTTAATAATAGAGATATAATAGTGCGCAAATTTATTTTCACATTCATATTTTAATAATATGTAATATTGATAATATGTAAATAATATTGTTGATAATACAACGATAAGAACATTGTACATTCGGCACAATCATAATTAATATTGTGTTTTTTAAAGAGATATATCTAAATTTAAAATTAAAATGCTGTATATGTAAATGTATGTGAATTTGCTAATTTTTTAAAATTAAAATTTACTATTCAAAAACTATAGCATTTGTACATTGCAAAGTTCATAAACTTAAACTATTTTCGTATCTTTTGCATTTTTTTTTTATTGATTATTTTGAACTGACTTTTTATTGCACTAACCTTGCAAGAGAGTGCACGGTTCTGCCATGTTTTAAATCTCCTACCATGGTAATTGTAAGACCATTCACGGTTCCGAATTCATCTCTAATAGAGAATATATCCAACAATGCTTGCGTCGGATGTTCGCCAACTCCATCACCAGCATTCAACATTGGTTTCCTACAATGTAGGGCTGCCCTCTAAAAAGATTCTCATTAATACGTAGAGTTAGAACATATATTTAAAAAATTAAAAGTGCATTATATTATTCAATTATTAAAGAGACGAAATTTTCGAGCAAATTGCAAAAGTGCAAAAAATCCACAATAATTATCACTTACATTGTTTACTTTTGCAAAAAATTAAATAAGTAAATTTCCAATTTATAAAATAATAAAAATAAAACTTTAAAAAAATCCAAAATAATAGAAATAATACTTTTATCACTTTTATCATTTAAACTTAATACTTTTATCACTTTTATCATTTAAAAAACATTATCATCAATATATTATAAAATAAATAGTTTTCTTTAAGATTAATACTTACAGCTACCGCACCTGGTTCTGAATGTCTGAGTACAATCACATCTGCGTATCCAGCCATAATTGTTATTGAATCTAAAAGCAGTAATTCAATAATTGTTGAATATCGTACTTAAGTTTAATTCTGCTTATAATACAATAAAATGTAATGATAGTGGAAATTAGCATGCAGAAATCAAGCATAGCTTGTTATCATAACATAACAACAGAAAAATATAGTAGTTAAATTTATTGTATTAATCAATTATGGCATATACGCAATAGAAATTAAGTAATAATACATTATTATAATTGCAAAAATTTAACATAAATTTAATGCTAATTGATACAGAAATAATTATTTGATATATTTGTATATACAACTTAATATGTCATTTTCATTGATTGTTCTATGTCAACTAATTACAATATTTGTAATCAAAAAACACGAATGGTGTCTCGATGCCAAGTTCACGCGCAACGAAGTTCGCATAGAACGGCGGCGTGACGCCCATGGCTCTCTTTACGCGAGACTCCGGGATGAACTCGGTCTACATTTTCATATCTCAGCAACGATTGCATCGATTAAGTTCTAACTACGCTTAATCGATAGCTGAGTATCAAATTATATAAGAAAAGTCCCAGATAGCAAAATGTTTCAAATTTGCTGTCATATAGCCGAAAGTCATTGCAACAACTAATTAAACAAACTCAGGACAAGGTGAGACAGCATTATGTCAATGGAATGATAATTTTAATAATGACAAATCGATGGCAATATGTCAGCATAAATCTGTTATTCACAACTTAATGACAACTCGTGTTGTCAATTTGTCATCCACAATTACCAATATGTTGATAGCAAATTGGCGACAACTTGAAAGCAACTCGTCATCATCGATGTGCTATCCATACCCAACATGTTAACAACAACATGACGGCAACATATGCCAAATAACGAATGCTGCATATATTGATAATATGCCAACTAAATGTTCTGTGCCAGTTTTCCTGGTAAAAATGACGGACAGAAACAGACAAGATTTCTATCAGTTTCTGTTAGCTGTCTGTATATAGATAAAATCAACAATTTACAGTTTAGCCGATAGAAATCATATCATTTCTGTCCGATTTTGTCCATAATTTTTACCAGAATTGTGCATTGTAAATATTTCGAAACAACACCGACAATGTTCAAGAGGTAATAGAGAATATATAAACTTATTATTTTTGAAACAACAACGTGTGTCCAGAAATATCATTTTTTAACAAAATAGCAATAAAATTATATCAGAAGAAATTTTTAAACAGATTTCAAGACAACAACCTGTTTCAAAAACGCTTCTAATATAACTATATTACCATTTAATCAAAATTGTATTAATTAATCAGGGAATGTTGTTAATTTTTATTCATATTTCTATTTTATTTTTTTATTTTATTTTACTATATTATGTGTAATATGATTAGTATAAAGTTGCAATGTACATACATCAGTTGCTTAGGATAATATATGTATATTTGTAAATGTAATTAGAAATGAATATTTACTTGTATATAAATCTCGAAAACTATATGTCTTTTTGCTGAAAAATTGCCGTAAACGTGTGACATTTCATATTATCAACATTTTATTAGCATTGAACTACAATTAAAAATCTTCATGTTTGAAAACATATATATGACAACAGATGGAAATCATTATATATGTTTTGTTGCCGTCATGTTTTCATCATGAAACTCAAGATGAAATGATTAATCATTTGTTGGTGACATTGTTAATATATTGCTGATAATATAACATACTACTATTGTTGACCGTTTTCTTTTAAAATTTCATCAACTAATTGCATCCATAAGCAGGTATATTGTTGTATTCGTTATGTATCCTATTTCTATATCAGCAAATATATGGCAAATATATAGCAACACATGCAATGCATTAGTTCGCTCAATATGTTATATCATACTTGGTTATCTAAGGTGTTTTTATTATTTTTTTTTTCGTGTTCTACAGACTGAGATATCGCAAAGCAGAGTTCAAATTGATAAATTTTAAAAAACGTCCTGGTTGTCCGTGACTTTCTTTTTTCTGTCGCAAGAAGCGCTAGTGAATGTCTGTGTATGACAGCTCTTGCAGCGCTCTTTTTTTTTATGTCTTTGACAGATGTCTTTCGTGTGAAGTTGTATGTATTAATAAAAAAGAAGATATAACGTGTCACATGTAATAGTAAGTAATACTGTAATATATAATTAAATATTATTTTTTCGGGTGGTATCACTCTCATGACCTATATAAAAATTACACACA